GCCTTTCCCCTTCTTCCCCAACCGCCCCCACAACTTCCCCTCCCTCTACCCACAACTCTCCCTCCTTCCCCAACCTCCCCCCTGTCTTCCCCTCCTTCCCCAACCTCCCCCCCTGTCTCCCCCCTCCTTCCCCAACCTCCCCCCTACTCCCCCTCCTTCCCCAACCTCCCCCCCTACTTCCCCTCCTTCCCCAACCTCCCCCCCTGTCTTCCCCTCCTTCCCCAACCTCCCCCCCTACTTCCCCTCCTTCCCCAACGTCCACCCTGTCTTCCCCTCCTTCCCCAACCTCCCCCCCCTACTTCCCCTCCTTCCCCAACCTCCCCCCCTGTCTTCCCTCCTTCCCCAACCTCCCCCCCTACTTCCCCTCCTTCCCCAACCTCCCCCCCTGTCTTCCCCTCCTTCCCCAACCTCCCCCCCTACTTCTCCTCCTTCCCCAACCTCCCCCACAACCTTAATACTTCCCCTCTATATCTCCTTGTATATATAATACCGATTAACCGGAAAATGCGTGAGTTTAATAGCAGTGTTTATAGGCCGTTACGCCGGGGCATAAGTTAGTAAACAAAGGGAGGTGTGTGTGTGTGTGTGTGTGTGTGTGTGTGTGTGTGTGTGTGTGTGTGTGTGTGTGTGTGTGTGTGTGTGTGTGTGTGTGTGTGTGTGTGTGTGTGTGTGTGTGTGTGTGTGTGTGTGTGTGTGTGTGTGTGTGTGTGTGTGTTTGTGTGTGTGTGTGTCTAGCCATTCCCTCTCGTCTTCCTCCTCATCTCTGTCCTCTTCCCCTTACCTATCCTTTCGGCATTAGCATCCTCCTTCCCCTTATTATCTTCCTCTACCGCTCCCCCCCCCCCCGACCCTCTGTCCTGCACTATCCTGCCTCCTGTTCCCTTCCCCTCTCTCCACCCACACACACCCCACCACACTTTCCTATCTCCCCCCCCCCCCCTTCCACGACCTCACCCACATATCCTATCCCTCAACACCCCCTCTCCCTCACCCCCCCCCCCCCCATCACACTTCCGTGCCTCTCCCCCACCCAACCACACCAACATCCCCTCCCCCACCCCACTCTCTCTCCCCCCCAAACACCCCAACCCCCTCCCCCTCCCCCCCTCCATCCCTCTCCAACCCCGGGCGCCCACACGTGCACCCGACGCCCCCCTTCACAAGCCACAGATTTACGTGGGCGGTTTATAGGAATTCTCGACTCATTGTGTTCGCTGGAATTAAGGCTGAAGGGAAGGCCTCTGCTTGCAACACCTTCTGCTTTCTGCTTCCCTGCTGCGTGTTGCTTGCTTGGGGTGTTTCTGCTCTCTCTTTTTTTTCTCTCCTTCTTCTTTTTTTATTTTTTTCCCTTATTTTTAAATTTTGTTTATTTACTTTATTTTTAAAAGTTTATATCTATTTTTTTTCTTTTCATTTATTTTTTTTTCTCTCCTCTTCTCTTTTTTTTCTTTTAGTTTATTGATATTTTCTTTTCTTTCTTTTCTCCTTTTCTTTTTTTGCTTCAATTTCTATTTTTTTCTTTTCTTTCTTTCTTTTTAGTTTTAGTTTCTTGTTTGTTACTTGTTTTCCCTTTTCTTTCTTTCTTTCTGTTTAAAAAAAAAAATTCCTTTCAACTATTTCTTATTATATCCTTCATTCTTTCTTTATTGCATTTCTATTTTTTTCGTTTTTTCTTTTGTTCTTTCTCCTTCGTATATATATTCTTTTCTCTCTATCCATTTTTCTTTTCTACAAATTTATCATCCTTCATTTTAATTCTTGGTTTTCTTTTTTCTCATCTTTCACTATTTTCACTTTGAATTTTCACCATTATCCGTAGCCATGTTCGATTGTACATATCATCATCACCATCATCAGTACGTTAATACAACAACATTAGCAAAAAATAATAATAATGAAAAAAAAAATAAGAAATAAAATATAATAAAAGATAATGATAATAAAAAAATGATATTAAGAAATACAGTTATCTCATAACAAGCACCATCAATATCATCACTTGATAACAGAGTCAGCTAAAATCACCATCACTGTCACAATCATCATCGCTATCACTATCACCACCATAATGATCACTATCACTGTCACCACCATCATCATCGTCACCAATACTATCATCCTCACTATCATCACTATCACTATCACAATCGCTATCATCACTATCACTGCCACCACCATCACTATCACAATTGCTATCATCACTATCACTACCATCACCATCATTATCACAATCACTATCATCACTATCACTGTCACCATCATCACTATCACAATTGCTACCATCACTATCATTACCATAACCATCTTTATCACAGTCACTATCATCACTATCACTGTCATCACCATCATCACAACCACCATTTCCACAGCCAACACAAAGACCCTGATATTTCGAGAGAGAATTCCTCGTTTGATTTCGGCCGCTGTGTTTTCTTTTCTTGTCTTTTTCTTGTTTTCTTTTCTTGTCTTTTCCTTTTTTCTTGTCTTTTTCTCTTTTCTTTTCTCCCCCCCCCCCCCCCCCCATCCGCCTTTTCCCTTTTCCTCCGCGACGTGTCTGGTAATTGGACAGAAAAGCTGGAAAGGTTAAAGAGCTGGCTTGTGATCCATCAATTGCCTCAAACACATGAGAACTGGGGAGGTGGGGGAGGGGGGGAGGGAAGGAAGGAGGTGGGGAAGGAAGGGAGGGAGAGGGGAAGGAAGGGAGGGAGGGGGGAAGGAGGGAGGGAGGGGGAAAGGAAGGGAGGGGGGTGGAGAAGGAGGAAAGGAGGGTGAGGAGGGAGGGAGATGGGGAGGAGAGGGAGGGAGGGGGGAAGGAAGGGAGGGAGAGGGGAAGGAAGGGAGGGAGAGGGGAAGGAAGGGAGGGAGAGGGGAAGGAAGGGAGGGAGGGGGGAGGGTTGGAAGGGGGGAAGGCTGTGTGTATGGTAGGGTGGTGGGTGTAATGGGGTGTGTGTGTGGGGTGGGGGGGGGGGGGTTGTGTGTGTGCATGTGTGTGTGTGTCATGTGCGCATGTTAGTACGTGTGCGTGTGTGTTTAAGTGTGCATGCATGTGCATCCGTATGCGTGTGCCTGTATAAACGCATGTTTGTGTATGCGTTTACACACCCCAACCCCCCACCCCTAACACAACCCCCCCCCCTTCACCCTCCCTCTCCCTCTGTCTCTCCCCCTCCCTCCCTCCCTCTCACCCAGTCCCACTCCCACTCCCACTCCCACTCCCTCCCTCTCTCTCTCCCACTCCCTCTCCCTCCCTCTCACCCACTCCCTCCCTCTCACCCACTCCCT